GCCTGAATAAAGTCTAAAGGAGATACGGGGAGAACCCTGCTGGGTCTAAGGAAGGAACATTTCAGAAAGAAGGGAACTCAGGACAAAGACTGGGCTGACACTGTGTAACTCGTGTACAAGGAAACGTGTGACTGACACCATGTGAGAGGAGGGGGAGAGAGTGGGAGGCAGTCACCAGGGTGCCTCGCACCAGGCCTTTTGCTCAGAGTGGGCTGTGAATCCGGCAGAGGCTTTGAGAGTCAGAGCAATGCAGTCAGCCTAGGATTGAGCAGTTGGACTGAATTCTGTGTTGGGCACTGATGAGAGAAGACACGATGGTAGGAGTGGAGGAGCTGAGGAGGGGTTAGACTCTGTGCAGCCAAGAGACTGAGCGATAGGAAACGTTGATGGTTTGTGTGTGCAAGTAGGACAAAGTGAAAGTCAGTGGTGATGAAAAATGCTTTTGGCCTGAGTGGAATTGTCCTTACCAGCTGAAGCAGGGAAGGAGCAGGCTTGTGGAAGAAGACTGGGGCTTCTTTTCTTTTACTGTGATAATAAATATTACAACACCCTTTGACCATTTTAATTACGTTCATGGTGTTGTTTGTACAGCCTTCACCACTATTGCTCTTTAAAACTTTTCCCTCCACCCAGACTAGAGCAGTATACCCCATTCTGCAACCCACCCCTAGTCCCTGATAACTTCTAATCTACTTTCCGTCTCCCGATAAATTGCCTTTCTAGAAACCTCATGTAAGTGGAATTGCGGTATTTGTCCTTTTGTGTCTGACTTTTTTTCACATAACATAATGCTTTCAAGGTTCATCCATATTGCAGCATGTGCCAGAAACTCATTCCTTTCTACAGCTGAATAATACTGCATTGTATGCCACATTTTGTTTAGCCATTCATCTGTTGATGGACGCTGGATTGCACTATGAGTTGACTGTACCTCCGCACAAGTTCATGTTTTGGAAACCTAATCCCCTGTGCAGCCCTGTTGAGAGGTGAGACTTTCAAGAGGTGATGAGGTCATGAGGGTTCTGAGCTCCTGAATGGATTAGTGTTAGTGGATTTCTCATGCTCACTGAAGTGAGTTGGGATCTCTTTTGTTGTCTCACCCTTCCACCTTCCACCACAGGATAACACAACGTGATGGCCCTCGACAGAAACCGACTCCTGGGTGTAGACTTTCAGGCCTCCAGAACCATGTGAAATAAATGTCTTCTCTTCATGAGTTACCAGTCTGAGGTTATACCGTCATCAGACAGCTTGTTAATACTCTAATGAAAATTCGCGTACAAACATCTGAGTTCTCACTTCTTTTTGTTACCATCCTAGAAGTAGAAATGATGACCCCGTGGTGGTCATGCACCTGACTTGGGAGGAACTGTGAACTCTCCCACCATGGCTGCGCCCTTGTGCGTTCCCACCAGCAACGGATGAGGCTTCTGCTTCTTCACATCCCCGGGGTGTTTGCTATGCTCCATTCTGTTTGTTCTTAGTTTTTGTTGTTTTTTATTAAAATTTTTTATTAGCATTTTTATAGATGTCTCAATTAAATTCACTTCCTCCCTTTTTCTGCCTTGTCCACCCTCTACCCCTTTATAGAGCAATTTCAACAGGTTCCATTGTTCTGTTTTCATTTGTGGATACAAAATGCATCGGGCACATTCACCCTCCTCCACCCTTTCCTTGTGTCCTCCCCAAGTAGGTATGAAATGTCACATCGAAGGGTTTCCTTTGAATGCCCCTAGTTACTAGTGAGCTGTAACTTCTTGTCATGTGCTCATTGGCTATTTGATTTTTTTTTTTTTGAGCAATGTTTACTCAGGTTGTTCACTTACTCTTATTCGGGTTTTGGTCTTTTTTTTATTGAGTTGTAGGTGGGATGGATAAATATATATCTAAATCTATATATCTCCTGTGTATTAAACTCATATTAGCTGTCTAGTTGGGAAATGTTTAATGTTTTCTCTTATTCTATGGGTTACCTTTTCGCTCTCCTAATAGTGTTCCTTGATATATAAAAATACTTAATTTTGACTAAGTCCAATTTACTGACTTTTTCTTTGCCTGTAATTTTGGTAACATATTTAAGGAAATATTGCCAAATCCAATGTAATGTTTTCTGTTTTTTCTTATAAGAATTTTATAGTTTTCACCCTTAAATTTAGGTATTTAATCTATCTTCAGTTAATTTTTATATTTGGTATGAGATTAAGGTCCCACTTCATGCTCTTCCCAGTGACTATCCAGTGTTCCAGGCAGTGTTCTTTACCCATTGTATAGTCTTTACAGTTGACTTGGTTAAAAGGAAATCAATTGGCCATAGTTGTAAAAATTTATTTATGGACTCTCAATTCTATCCCTTTGGTCTATATGTCTATCCTTATGCCTCTACCTTAATTTTCTTTATGTAGCTTTGCAGTAGGTTTTCAGATTGGGAACTATGAGTCTTGAAATCCCGTGTGGATTTTGACATTCCTGCAACATCAGAACAGAAACGCCAGTGGGATTTTGATAGGGATCTCATGGACTCTGTCGATTGTTTTGGGTGGTACCGATGTCTTCACAATGTTTGATCTACTGTTAGGTTTATTAGGTCATCTCTAATCTGTTTCAGCACCATTTAAAAAATTTTAATGTACAAATCTCCTTAAGTTTATTAGTGAATATTTTATTTTTCCTGATATAAATGGAAGTATTTTTTAAATTTTCTTCTCAGATTGTTCATAAGTAATTTATGGGCATCTGTAACTGATTTAATGTGTTAATTTTACATCCTGTAATGTTGTTGACTTTATTAGTTCTCCACGTTTTCTTTCCTGACTCTTCAGAGTTTTCTGCATGTAAACTCATCTCATCTGTGGACAAAGAACGTACTACTTCTTTTCCAATTTGGAGCTCTTATTTCTTTTTCTTGCCTAATTACCTGGCGAGCACAGTGATTTCATTTTGGACATGATAATTTGAGATCTTATTCACCCTCCAAGTGGAGATGTCAAGTAGGCAAAATATTCGAGTCTGGAGGTCAGAGCATGTCTGTGCTGGAGGTGCTGACATGGCTGATACTTAAAACCACTCGTCCACTATGTCAGGAGTGAGCACAGGAAAGAAGAGAATGGTGGAGGATGAGGCATGGAAAGGAAGCCTGACACTGTAGAATCCCAGTAGTAGTCAGCCAACTTGTTTTCCTTTCCTCTGTTCCTCATGTCCCTAAGAGATGGGCTGTCCCCAAGGGAGAAGCCTCATGGCCTTCTTTTGGGTGGTTCAATAAGGCTGTGTGTAGGACTGGGCACATCACTGGGCTGGCGTGGTGCTTGCTCAAGGATGACATCTTTTTTGATGGTTACAGATTCCCAAGTTCAGGTCTTGTCTCCAGACTTAACCCACAGAGTTATACTACAGCCATCCCATGTGTGGTGTCAGAAATACAGAAGAGCTAATGGTAGAATATTCTGGAGGACAGCTGAAAGGACAGGGAAGCAGTCATCTGTCAGCTTATCTGTCACTCCTCGGAGCTCTTCCTGCGGTTATCTTTCCCTTTTTTTTTTTTTTTGCAGCACCAAGGTTTGTTTGTTTGTTTGTTTGTTTTTTTAGCAGCACCAAGATTTGAACTCGGGACCTTACTCTTCCTAAGCAGGCACTCTACCACTTGAGCCACGTCACCAACTCAGTTATCTTTTTGATTCATATTCTGTCTTCACTCTACTTTCTCCACCTTCCCCAAATGTAGAGTACTTGGCCCTTTGAGTTGTTCATTTTTGTCAGCCTGAGACCCTTTGAGTACCGATTGTTCTCTCGTTTACCACCTTTTGACTGTTGGCCCTCCAAGATGTGAGTGAGGATGCAGTGTTCACGTTTACACTGTGCAGTTGTGAAGAACCTTACATGAACCGCACAAGTACGCAACTAACTTGGATCCACATAAAATTGTACACACACGCACACTGCCGTGAACTGCATGCCTGGCTGAGTATAGCACCAAATTGTTAAAATTGTCGTTTCTAGTGAGAACTGTGAAGTTTTCACATTTCTAACCATTTATTACCACATATTTAAATTTTTTCCCAGTCAGTATGCACTTTTTTTTTTTTTAATTTTGGTGAGATCGGTGTTTGAACTCAGGACTTCATGCTTGTAAAAGCAGGTGTTCTGTCACTGGAGCCACGCCCCCCGTCCATTTTACTCTGGTTATTTTGGAGATGAGGTCTCATGAACTGTTTACCCAGGCTGGCCTCAAAACACAATCTTCCTGATCTCAGCCTCCTAAGTAACTAGGATTTACAGGCGGCAGTCACCGGCACCGAGCCTCTGTGCTCTTCTTGTTAAGCAAAAGAGTATTTACAGTCATTTTTTTGGCTGGACATAGTGGTATACATCTGTAATCCCAGGCCTCGAGAGGCTGAGGCAGGAGGATCACAAGTTCAAAAACAGCCTGGGCTACATAGTGAGACCCTGTCTCCAAAAAAGAAAACAAAAGAAAAACTTTTAAGAAAACATATGCAGTGCTAGGTATCAGCAGATGTCAACCTAATAATGAAGGTCTCTGTTGCTGGATGGGGTGGGGATTTGCTTGACTGTGCAGCAGAACACAAGTGGTGCTCGACGTGGATTCTGGAATGAGGCCATGGCTGTGCAGCAGCCATGGAGAAGTGTCAAGCCTACGGAACATGCCATCCCCACATGTCCCTAACTTTAAAGTCCGTATGTCGACACTTCTGGAGGTCTGCTAGCTAACTGGCAGATCAGACTTATGCAGGAATTTTTTTGTGCGAGTGTGCCTTTCTACCTCATGTTTAGATTATTTTGGACTAGTTTTGGAATTTCTATCTCTTGGGCTGTTTTTTTTCCAGGAATATAAAGGGTTTTTTTTGTTGTTGTTGTTTGATATATGCTTAAATGTTTGTTTTTAGGTGATGCAACTTTTCAAAAAAACTTATTAAAATTTATTTCTGTGGGAAAAATATTTTTATATTTTTAACTGTTTTTTGTTCCTTCTCTTTTAAAATCTTTAGCCAACAAGAACATTAGTCATGACAAGCATGCCGTCTGAGTAAGTACTTGTTGTTTTGATAACTTTCTATTCAATGTAAAATTTACTCTTTTCTCATATATACTGTAGTTGTGTGTGCTTTTAGGCAACTCATACACTATACTCTATCACTTTTAATTGGTGTAATTAGTTCCAGCTTCAGAAGATCATTGAACATAAAATTGTGATGAAATGTGACAGTTTAGTAGTAAAAAGCTTTTGGGGTTGTTAGACAAGGCTAAGAGGTTTTGTGCTATTCTTGCTTCTTTTTTTTCAATTGCTGATTCCTAATGGCTTTGTTTGTACACCCCTCACCCTACGGATGTTCAGTAAACCGAGCAATGCCAGGCAGAAACATTTTCCTTAACGATCTTAAAGAAACACCGCAGTAGAAAGCTTTCCATATCAGTATTAAAGCAGCTATCTCTGCATCTGGTGGAAGGGTTAATGGCTTTTGCTGGCATGCTCTTATCATCTTCCTTAAACATTTAGCATAGTAAAGACCATCCAACAAAAATACAGGACTATATTCTTTGCAACAGATTTTCAAATTCCTATTTAAAGGGGAAAACCACATTTTTTATACCAATTTTAGGTTTGAGGTTTTAAAACATTCATCAAAACTTTGGTACATTGCAGTGAAAAATACACTGGGGAAAGAGTGTATTGAGGCCACCCTCTGCAGAGGCTCCCTTTCTAACCCCGGCATGAAAATAAAAGCACTGATACTTGTACATTATGTGTAGAAAAGCAGCCCACTCTTTACTTTTGTAAATATATTATGTAATAGTTTCAACATTCAAGATAGTTAAATACAGAAATGAATCTTGAATATGGGTGTGATATTTTTTAAAGTTGCCTAATTTTGCTCCCTAAATTTAAAAAAAAAAAAAAACCAAACATTAATAACGAGTTATTTTCTCATTGAAAGCTTTAAAAAGAATTTTTTTCATTTAGGCCTTATTCTAGTCATATTCTTCCTTATCTCAGTTTTGTGCATCTTAAGATCAAGACTGGCATGTCATCTGTTCTTAAATTTTGTTTACGATGATAATTTTAGTGTCTCTCGTTTTTTTAAGTGTCCCATTTCAAATTTGTTAAATTTTCTCTAACATTTATTTTGCTAACCAATCAGAATATTTAGATATAAAGGATGGAGTATCACTGATATGCTGTCTGATCCCTCTGGGACACTTTAAAACTCTGTGGATGTCTGTATTTTAATTTCCTATTTATGTGTACATTCCATCATAAGCTCCCCACAGGAAGATAACTGTATCTCCTTTGTTTCTTATTGCATAAAATCTTGACTGTAAGTTAAGTTGAATTAATTATTGAGCTATTGAGTTATTAGCTATTTCATCCCAGCAGCCTTTTCCTTGTGCTGTCTTTGCGAATACCAGCTCCTTGCTAACAGGCAGGACTTCAGTCTGTTTTGTTAACTGATTTTCCTTAGCACCTAGAGCAATGCCACAGCACTGTTAAAATACAGAAACTTAATAAATATTGTTTCACAAAAAAAAAAAACAAAAAAACAAAAAGGAACGAGATTGGACCTTCTGATTCACATGGGTGAGCTCTGGCTTAAAAAAAAATACAGGTGTTACTAACTAGCACACCCAAGAAACTGCAGGAAAGCTGCAAGTTTTGGCATGGAAGAAGTCAGATGTCCAGAAAGGAAATGGTCTTGAGATCTAGTTTGAGGTTTTTTCTTCTTTTGCTTTTATTTCAGTTTCCTTTCATCTTTCTTGCCTTTATTTTTTTCTAAATTTAATACTTGTCATGACGCTAAAAAGCGTAGCTTCTCTGGTTCCAGTGATGGCAGAGGAGGACCAAGGCCCATTCATCCTGTGCCCTACAGAGCTCTGAAAGCATGGCATACCAGCCCTCATGTCACAGGTGGAGACAGAGCTCTTGAGATTAAACAAAGAAGCACTGAAAGGTGGGAGGAAGAGCACAGAACAGCATGCACAGGCAGGGGTGGGGGTGGTAGCCGCCTCTGTCCCTGTAATAGTCCAAAGAGAGCAGAGGCCCTTATTACTTATTTTAACTCACGGAGTATGTTGGAGCGCGGCTTAGGAAGACTCTGTGTGCTTCATGTGTCACTGATATCTCCAGGTCTTGCTGGGAGAGAGGAGCAATGCCTTGCAGCTAATGGTACAAGACAGGGCATTGCGCACAGAGGGGGGCAGCCCCAAGGGTTGTTTGCCAAGGAAGTTAGATGGGAAGAATATTAAAATGGTAAATAAAAAATTAAAAGACACATAAATACATTAAGAGAATGATAGACCAGAAGGTATACAGTAATGAGCTTTGTAAAATTAAGAATACTCTGTCAAAATTTACCCTAAGATTTGATTGGATGATTTAATATTTTAAAGGGTCTTTTTTTCTTTTCCAGTAGGAAATCTATGTGTTTGACAATTAAAAATATTTTTCAAAATAAAACAAGTAAATAAGAATTTTGGTCCTGCTATATACCCTTTATTCAAATATGCCTGGAAAGTAAATAACTGTTATGAAGGGTAGACCCCTGGGCTGGTGTCAGGGGTCTGGTTTCTAGTGCTGGCTCTGTCCCTACCCAGCTGGTGACCCTGGGAAAGCCGTGTACAGCCTCCATGCCTGACTTCTCAGTCTTTGAAAAAGATGAGTTGGAGCTGGATCTGAAGGTTTCTTGTTTCCCCAAATTTTGTGTCACTGACTATAAAGACATTAAGACATGAGGACTATAACCAAAATCAGCTGAAGCATCTAGTTTTCTATTGTTCAGAATTATCACCTGGACATTTTGCGCAGCTGATGCTCATCTTGTTGACTCTTCCATTTTTAACAGGAAGCAGAACATCGTCATCCAGGTGGTGAATGAGCTCAAGGACTTTGCTTTTGCACCCGAGGTCTGTGAGACCACCACTCACGTGCTGGCTGGGGAGCCTCTTCGTACCCTGAATGTGCTGCTGGGGATCGCCCGAGGCTGCTGGGTCCTCTCTTACGAGTGGGTAAGTTCTGGCTTGAATGACAGATTTTCAGACAGGAGGCGTTTGATAGATGTGGTCATCCTAAGGTGGTGACCCTAGGAGTCGTGTCAGTATGCATGTCTCCCTGAGAGCAGGAAATGAGTACTTCCTTCAGCCAGTGCTGGCCTCACTCAGGAGAGGAGGGTGGTGAGGCTGGAGGGCAGGAGAACAGGGGGTCTGCAGGACAGACTCCACCAGCAGCAGAAATAAGATCAGAACAGACTTGGACCGAAAACACCAAGTGCGTTTTCTCACACTCAAATGAGTTTTGCTCTGTGTTTGACCAAGAAATAATGTGTTCTATGCTAGGGATGGTTTGAAAAGCCAAAAGAATTCAGTGATTGTTTTTACAGATGGATTTACTTAGGATGAAACATGTTCACTTAACTCCATTTGGATTCATCTTGGGTACATCTATCCATAGCATTGTTTGTCCTATTTCTGCGCATTAAAGGTAGCCTTTAAAAATGTATCATTATTTTCATCATTCATAAAAATTGAAATGGTCTGTTATTCACTTTGTTTTCACTTTGATCCTCAACCTAAGGTCACCCTGAAGTAGCATCATTTGTTACTGTGTTACACTTTGCATCCCCCGCTTTCCTCCCTCAAGAATGTGTAGTATTAATACTGTGTTAATTTAAGCCAGTAGAATTATACTGTGCAAACAAACTACAGATGTATTTTTAAGAATGGCTTTCATCGTTCTCCTGTGTCATAGCTTAACCCCACAGCTCTCTGTTAAGGGGTTTAAGAAATTTGTGGTTAAAGTCACGAAGTACAAAAGGTTGACATTTTTTTAAAAGTTCTATTTGCATTGGAGTCAGCCGGGGATTACTTTACCTAATTATATACTAGCACTGCTGTGTGCTTATCTGTATAAAATCTAATTTATAACTCTGGCTTCAGTGGGTGAATCCCCTGCTTTCTTTCCAATTCAAAATGTCTCTATCTTCATCAGTCAGCACCTCCTTCCTTCAAGTTTCAGAAGAAAAGTGTTTTACCTTTAATAAAGGTACACATCTGTACTTGGTTCTGCACCCAGTCTGTTATTCAGGAACTTTGAGCAGTCCAGAGAGACAAGACAAGAGGACTTAGCAGTTCTGTTAACTTGTGTAAAGATGCACGCCTCCGTGCCTGGATGCCTCTGCTCGGATTCTGGCCCTTCTTCTCCACTAATCACTTATGGAAACAAGTGAGTGCAGGTTTAGGTTATGGTAACTCTACATGGGGTTAGCTGAAATGCACTTTATTTAATAAACTTCTAATGTTCAGGCTGGACTCCTGGCCTGGAGGATAAGCCTGGGATACTCCATCACACAGTGAATGAAGGAAGTACTGGTGCAACATGGCATGAAAAAGACATAAAAGGCACTTGGGTTAGCGCGGAAGAAATAACTCCATCTTCACTCAAGTGCAGCACGATTGTCCGTATAGACAATTGGAAGAAATCTACTAAGAAGCTCTTAGAACTAGTACCAATGTAACAAGTTGTCAAGATACAAAGTCAACCCTGAAATCAAGTATGAGTTTAGTAAGGTATGTGTAAGAGCTCTATGCTAAAAACTGTACATCCACACAGAATCAGAGACATGCTGTGTTCGTGGGTTGAAGTACTCAATACAGTCACAGTGTCATCCCTCCCCAAAAAGATGGGTGGATTTGACACATTCCCAGGTGACATCAGCAGGCTGGAGATGTGGGCAAGCTGCTTGTAGAATTTATGGAGGGATCAGGGAACTGGTAAAGCTCAATCCATTCTGAAGAGAAGAGTGAAGTTGGAAGACTAGCTCTACTGGATGTTAACTCATCCTTTAAAGCTGCAGTGACCACAGTGGTGATGGATCACCAGGTACAATGGAGCAGAGCAGAGTTCAGAAAGACAACCACAAAAACATGGCCTATTAGTTGTGACAAAGCACAAAGGCAGTCCAGAGGAAATGCTCAGTGTTTTCAACAAATGGTGCTAGAGCAAGTGAACATTCACAAACAAAAAAGGGACCCTCAGTGTGTGCCTTATTCAGTATCCAATAGTCATCTCCAGAACCAGGCACAGTGGCTCAAGCCTGTCATCCTAGCTACTTGGGAGGCAGAGATTGGAAGGATAGTGGTTGGAGGCCACCTTGGGCAAAACGTTTACGAAAAGCCATCAATCAAAGACTGCATGCTGTGTTGCACACCTCGTCCCAGCTATACAGGGAAGCTTAAATAGAAGGATCACAGTTTAGGTTGGCCTGAGCATAAAGTGACACCCTGTCACAAAAATAACCAACATGAAAAGGGCTGTCAGAGTGGCTCAAGTGGCAGAGCACCTGCCTAGAATTCCCAGTAACCACTAAAAGAAGAAAAAGAGTCATTTCAAATAGTTCACCGACTAGATTTAAAAGTATAAAACTCTTTGAAATAGGCTTAGGAGAAAAATCTTCATAACCTCAACTCAGGCAAAGAGCTCTCTGACACAACACCAAAAGCAGAATGTACCATAGAAAAAATTTGATAAATCAGACTTCCTCAAAATTGAATTTTTTTAGTCTGTTAGAGCCAAAGTAAAGACTACAAAAGGCTATTAGTATCACTAATATTTGCAATCTTTTATCTGACAAAGAAATGACTTCCAAAATACATAAAGAACTCTCAAAACTCAACATGAGCTGAGGGTGTGGCTAAAGTGGTAGTACACCTGCCTAGCAAGCATGTGGCCTTGAGCTCAAGCCCCAGTTCTGCCAAAAAAAACAAAACCCCAAACAACAAAGCTCTCAACATGAAAATAGCAACCTAAATAAAAATTGGCAAAAAGAATTCTTTGAGCAAATATTTTACCAAAGATAAACAGATGGCAATTATGCACTGCATACATGTTAGAATAGCTGACAGAAACACCAGTGATGCCCCGGCAAAGAGTCAGGCACTGGGATTCTTATATGCAGCGAGTGGAGTGGAAAGTTTGATGACCAGTCTGAAAAGCAGTGTGACAGTTTCATGTACAGTCAAAGTGCAGTTACTACCTCACCCAGCAGTCCCACTCCCAGGAATTTCCCACTTAGAGAGATGACAGCTTACGTTCACACAAAAATCTGTGCACAAGTGTTTGCAGCACCTTTACTTGTAGTTGTCTGAACCTGGAGACAACACAGACATTGTCTGAGTGTCTGAGCATCCATCCGGGTAAGGGGCTACTACTCAGCCATGAAAAGAATAGCAATGTGTGCCAACTTGGATGATTCTAGGTGAACAAGCCGGTGTCAGAGGTCATATACCTTATGACCCCGTTTACATACCGCTGCAGGAAAGGTGGAACTGTTGGGCAGAAGAACAGATGAGTGGTTGTCAGGGGTCAAGGTCAGAGCAGGGTCTGAATGCCAAGGGTAACACCTGAGACTGCTGAGGTGTTAGAAGCATTTGGTGTTCTGTTGTGTTGACACATGGAGGACTGTATGCACATGCACCCATGTGCACACACAAGTAAACTTGACTGTAAACTTTTTGTAAAATGTCCATCTAATGGGGCTCTGCACACTGCTGTGGTTCTGGAACCCAAAACCGTTTTCAGCCCTTTGCATCTTCACTACCTCCCCACCTCTGATCTCACTGCCTCCTGACAGCATTTAATCTTTTTTCATTTCTTCAATTTTTTTTTAATTTTAAAAAATAGCTTTCCTGGCTTCTTCTTTGCTGTCTGTGCTACCTTTCCATCTCTTTTATGACAAATTTCACAAATGCTCGTCTTTTCTTGTCCCCACTTCCCAGAGTGCCATCCAGTCTTCCACACATCCCATCCAGCCAGTGCACCAGCGCTGTGCTTGTGAGGGTCACCAGGACCCACTGCGTACTTCTGAATTGCGTAAGTCACACACACTGCCAATTCTCAAAATCTAAGAATGCAGTTTAACAGCAGTTATAAAGCCAGCACTACAGAACCTGCCACCCAGACCAAGGAAGAGAGCTTCAATGCTCTAGGAGCCCTGGCACACCCCTTCTCTGTCTCCCTAAAGGGCTGTGTCTTGACTGATGATGGCCAACCCTTTCTTTTCCTTAGAGTTAGTGTTTAAAGTCAGTCTAGCCTGTTGTCCTACATTTTTTTAATCAATACATGGATTGATCAACATGTGTTAATCAACACATGGATTGTGTTGGAATTGACCAAATTGCAAACTGTTTCTCTGCTCACTCCCTGGACATTTTTTTTTAATTTTTTTATTCATTTATTCACATGTGCGTACATTGTTTGGGTCATTTCTCCCCACCTTCTTCTCCCCTCCCCCTCCATCTCCTCCTCCCCCTCCTTTGCTTCCACGCAGAACTTGTTCTGCCCTTTCCTCCAATTTTGTTGAAGAGAAGACATAAACATAGTAAGAAGGACAAAGCGTCTTTGCTAGTTGAGTTAAGGATAGCTATACAGAGAGATTCCTAGCATTGCTTGCATACACAAATGTGTTACAACCCAGGTTGGTTCATCTCTAACTGATCTTTACACTGCTTCCTGATCCCCTTCTCGTGTTGACCTCTGTTGCTTTAAGGTTTCTGTATTAATTCCTCTGGAGTGGGGACATCAAACGCTTTCATGTTTTGGGTTTCCTGCCTATCCTCATACCTCCCGTATGTGCTCTCCCCTTGTCATGTGACCCAAGTCCAACAACATTGCTGTATTTGCCCTAGATCTAAAGTCTGCATATGATGGAGAACATAACGAGTTTTGGTCTTCTGAGCCTGGCTAACCTCATTCAGTATGATGTTCTCAAGTTCCGTCCATTTACTTGTGAATGATAACATTTTGTTCTTCTTCATGGCTGAGTAAAACTCCACTGTGTATAAGTACCACATTTGCTTAATACATTCATTGTATTGGGGCATCTTGGCTGTTCCTGGACTACCTTTATGAACTAGGTTCCTGGAGTAGATGGTCCCCTTCCCCCTTAGAAGAGCCAACCCAAGCTCATCCCCCAGAAGTCCTGTCCCCTTCTCCACCAAGGACCCCAGGCCTT